GCTAGGAGTATCACTTCTCCCTGGATGGGATGCCCAAGAACACAACACCAATGACCCAAACGCTCGATCAGGAGTCCAACCTGCTAACCATTAGGTCACTGCACCTCCCAGGAAGGAGAGCTTATTACATACTAGTAATGCATGACTCACAGGTCCTCAGGAAGCTGGGATGGGGATTAATTATTTTTGGGGTGTGAGGGTAATAATCAGTCAATAATTGACTGGAGTTCGATAGTCTCCCGGCATCTGCATGTACACCTTTTGTTCACGATTTTGTTGCCGACTGTTCAACAAGGGAAGGAGAATCGACGACCGCCTTGTTTTGCTATCTCTGATACAAGTAGATAATGATGAGCTTGACAAGAAAAAGAAGAAACTAAGGTATAATTCTGAGCTACCAGTGAATAGTGGACAATGTGACAGCCAAGCACATTGTTCTACTAAATAAAAATCAGTACCTTGTTCATTCTCGCATTCTTCAGTGGCAATCTCTGGTAATGACGTCTCCTCTTTGCAGCTTTCATCAGCATTGCTCTCCACAGGATCACTTGTTTTTTCTGAATCATTCTCCTGTTCAGTGGCTTCCATGACTTCATTGTCAGGCTCAGCCCAAGCAACAAAGCTTGTAGGAGGGCCAGTGCTTACTGATGGATCATCTCCTTGAGCTTCTGCAACTTCATTGGGCCAAATCAACTTGAAACTCAGTGTGAATCTACAGTTAAAAATACATTATGAAGTTAACTTTTGCAATTGTCATTGTCTTTATAAAACAAATTAAAACTCAAACTAATGGTTTTCAAATGAGTGTCTTGAAACCAACACCAATGTACATGTACACTGTAATCACTCTGGCCAATCACAACAAATGTAAATCACAACAACACTGACTTTATTATCATTTTTTCATTAAAAGAGAGTACAGAATTACTACAAAGGAACTGGAAATTTATCAGTAAAAGTTACTCAGAATAACCAGAAAAGCTAATTTAGCTGAGCAACTACAATCTTGCTTTGAATATTTATACCTCTAGGTTACAGAAGGGAAGGAATGGGAAGCAAAAATAACAAAAGGAGCACCAGGCAAAGGACTTAAGACATTGTGAGTGGTTAGTGCAAAAAATGAAGGCGGCCGATAACAGAAACATGCAACAACGGCGGATTGGAGGCGATGTTTGTTGCCGTCCATAACAAGGTTAAACACTTGTCAGAACTCTTTAAGACAAAAGGGGGACTTGCAAAACAGTCCTAATCCCTTGTTCAAAATGGAAATATATTCAAGAACAGTGGCGTAAGATTTTTAATCAAACATGAATATGGTGAGGGCATTTTAGATTTCCAACCTTGAGCTTCCTCTCGGATTGTCCGCATGACCAGATGACGTGTTCCCATCTTCAACCTATCATCTTTGCTATATACGTGGGAACAGGCAACTCTCGTCTGATGACCCTACAACAAATGGAAAACAAATATATTCCATTTTATATCTTCTTAGTTTCCCTTGTTTCCTGTAGGAGACCTCTATAGCACCATTTATAAAATGGCTGACGATTATGACGCAAAAACTTTCTAATGAACAACAATACGAGTCCATGTGAATGACACACTTCCTTTTACTCAGTGAATAGCTATGATTTAGTTCTATGCCTTCTCACTTTACCACATCACGCCATTAGGACCAAATTCTGTCCCACTAATCCCACAAATATCTCCGTGCTTGTATCAAGGAATTCAGCTTCTGCATTTTGATACAGTGTACTTACTGCCCTCATAGTTACACCACTTCCAGTCTATCACCGTCCATTTTGACAAATCACTATACCTGTGGTTATAAAAACAAAGCTCAACAGATTTATTCTAACTTTTTGGGCGGACGAATCTTCCATCAAAATCCACTGTCAACTTACTTGTGGGTAACTTGAGTTGTTTCAATGGTGAGTCACACAAGCGCTGGGAGCAGTAGCTAGGAACGTTGTAACACTGCTAAAAGAACACACAATGGGAGACATAGGGTGCCCTAAGACTTAGAAAATCTGCTTCAAAATAGCGATCATTACTTTTTGTTTAATGTGCAGACCCTCCTCAGATAATCGAAAATGCCTCTCTCTTGTGGGGAGTTAGAATAAAGGTCATGACAGGTGAGGCCGCTAAGCCCAATATGTGGCCTGCACAGTACATTACCCACCAAGCCAAAAAACAGATTCCTCCTCTTTATTTACACTGCGAATATCGTTTTTCTCTGGCCAAAGACATGTCCTTGAGATTTGACACCAGAAACATGTTTCCTATTATTACCTCGGCGCTAGTGCAAGTAAGGTGGTACATAGCGAACTGTAATGGATACAAACTGGTAGAGCTACATGTTGTATTTCATGAGGGCCTTGTGAATTTTTTCAGGTGGAAATGTGAACCTCCAGATGACCTCGCAAGTGGGAAATGAATTGGGTGTGCTGAGAGACGTCTGTTTACTAAGGGGAGCAGTGGTGAGAGTGCTCGCCTCCACGCAATGTGACCCAGGTTCTATTCCAACTGGGAGTCATGTGGTTGAGTTTGTTGTTGGTTCCCATCCTTGCCCCAAGTGTTTTTCTCCGGGTTCTCTGGTTTTCCTTCCTCCACAAAAACCAATATTTCTAAATTCCAATTTGATCTGGAAACTGAGGGCCACAGATTTATCAGTCGTAATACAGGTACATGTAAGTGTCAGCCCTCGTTAAACAAAAGTTGATTGATTGATTTAAGGCTATCAGACTAACTGTTCAAAGAAGTGGGATTAAAAACACCCAAGCCTGAGAAAACACGGAGACATCTTACATCACATGCGCTCAATTCTGTTTCCCTTCAAAAGAGAAAATTCAAGCAGTAGAATTCCATACTGACAATGCAGCAGTTCACAGATCAGTGCAATGTCTCTGATTGGTTGTTACTCGGGTTTGATTGTCTGCACGCAGTTCACGAGCTATCAGAGACCACTACACACATGTACATCTGCACAGCTATCACAGACTTCACTAACCTGACATAGGAACATTTTTAGTGTGGTCTCCTCTCACAAATGAGCACTCTGGACCAATGCCTCTCATGCTCCGACCTAACAGATGGAGTGACACAAGTTAGTTACAAACTGACTGCCAAACTTTAATTTAGATTACCGGTAGTACATTTCTTCCATTTATAAAACCATTACAGTGGATTAATCTGACCAACACACTACCAACCCCCCCCCCCCCACCCCCCCCCCCCCCCCCCAAAAAAAAAAAAGTGGCCACGATAATGTGACCATAATAATGAGGTGGACGCACAGCAGCAGTTCTACTTTAAATTACTGTAACATCTAATTACTCACCATGGTTCGTCAGTTGGTTCCCAGCAAACCAAACACACATCGCAAATGAAACAGAGAGCCCTGTCATCTCCACGGTTACTAGGCTGAAAGAGAGTACAAAAACAGTCCATCAACCAAAATAGAAGGCAATCTTACAAATCCAAATGTCCTGTAGGCTCATGCGCAGTTTAGTTGCTTTCAAGGTAGTTTTTCCCTTGCGCTTGCTTTGGTCAGTTACTCAAGTATTTTGCCTGGTAAAAGCCTGTACCATTGTATTGACCAAATTACTTTTTTTATTCACCCCTGTTAAACAGTTTAAACCTTGAAATAATCAGGAGAGAAATTCAAGAACTAGTGACACTGTTGAGGAACAACTTCTGTTTTGAGAAAGATGCCAATCAGTCACTGACACAAGCTATGGTACTCGAAAAAAAAATTCTGAGTTCTCCCAACATGAGGTTGAACCAATGACCTTCTGCAGACCGGTTGGATGCTCTACCACTGAGCTACAGGAGACTTGTTTTATTATAAATGGTCTGAGTAGCTTGTGTTACTGACTGATTAACACCTTTCTCATATTTCTACCAAGTTTAAAATATGGATGATACTACATGTATCATTTCTTTTCAAGGTGCACATCTGTTTTGAACAATTTTTTGGTGGATTTGAAAAAGAAAAAAACTGTCTTCGGGGTAGCATATTTTTATAACAGAATTAACTGATCATTTGATTGAACACATCTCACAACATACCTGGTGGTAGAAGCCAGCTTTTGCCATAGCTTCGGGATATGCCCACCTTAAAACAAAAATCAACAACTGCAGTACCAGTAAATAATATACCATAAGACAAGGTAGCCATTTAAAATATTTTATCAAAAAGAATATTTTTATGTCAGCAATGACATCGAAACGTCGAATCGCTTTAATATTTGTATTTTTTTAAACAACATTTGTCGGAATAATCATTGCCAGCAAGATTACAATTCGACTTTGTCATCATCACTTTCCTCATCAGCATTCAAATCCTTTAGACTTCAGAAATACAACACATGTGGCATTTTAAAGAGACATAACAGAACAATATTGAGGTTATTTGCTTCTGTTGTTTTGGCTGTTTTTGTTTTGTATAACTGTAAATAACAATTTAAATGGCATGTGACTTAAGAAAACAATGCTTAGTCAGTTTATTTTATTTTCAAGTCAAACATTTAATAGAATCTTTGGTCTGTATCATGAAATCACAAAAATAAAAGTGACTTTGGTTTCTAAAAATCCTGTCAAATCATGAAAATTAAAGTGTCGTGAAATACCTCCCTTCAAAAATCGTGAAATTAAAATGTACCTGTATTCTTTATGTGGCCATGACAAGAATGTCTTTCTCCTAACTGCCTCCATAAACATCGCCAATTTGTTGCCAGGCATACTAGGTTTACTTTCGGCGGTGACATACTCAAGAAGGTACATTGTCCTGGAGCGCATGGCTGATACCACTGGCAGGGCTGCATGATTCTTACAGCTTCTCTGGAGGTAGGTAACCAGATCACTAAAGGCTACATCCAGGGCACTACAAGCATACTTCAACTGGCAGGTACACCACTATGAAAGAAAATTAGAATAATATTACAAACAAGCTCAACTTTAACCCATTCACTTCTGTTTTTCTGTTGTTTTTTCTCTCATAAAAATGCCAATCTAATGCCACAGATGCCTATTTCTGGCTGTTATCTCAACAGTTCACAGCCAAACTGTCTAAACTTAGTTTGCAACTAACATCAGTGTTCTCCCCAGGATTTGGGAAGGCCAGGGGGCAGGATTTTCCCACAACACAGTCGTGGTATGAGCGCCATAGGCGTGAGCTCCTAGGGGGGTCTGGGGGCATGCTCCCCTGGAAAAATTTTTTTGACTTTACCCTCTAAAACACTATTTCTTGCATTCCTGAGACTCAAAGTCAAGATATAAAACGTAGATTTACCTTAATTCTCAACCAGAAAACCAATGAAATTTTTTTTAAACATATATGTATATATTATTAGTTTGTCTTTATTTGCTTCAATCATTATCTTTCACAATTCTTCTATAAAAGTGATATTAAAAAAGTGTCTCTTTTTTTATTTTTTTAATCAGGTAATCATCAAACTAAAACTGCCTCAGTGCATGATCAAATCTTTCTTTCTTTCTTTATTCTTTCTTTCCTTCCTTCTGGTATTACCGGCATGTTTATTTGTGGGGGAAAAAATTCATAAAAAAGCCGGCAATACAAAAAGACATAGTTGTGGAAGACTGGGAACTAGTGTAATAACACGTGACAAAGAGTAAACAAACATGGTGTTGAGAACGTGTCGCGTACGTCAAAGCTGGCTTATTTTGATACAATTTCCTTGAAATGACCGGCGTTCCTTTGAGAAATGAACGCAAAGAAAGTTTCTGCACTGATGTAGACTACTTCAAAGCGGAAATTTTCTGTCAAGAAAGCAATCTCTGGAACGTACAAGCTTAGCCATGTTGAGCACGAAGTGTTCGTTGGCCGATCTTTTTAAGCCAGGTGGCAAGCATTTTTTCAGCAATTCAAGCGGGGCGGGCCGCATAGCCTTAAATACCTAGGGAGAAACACTGAACATTCACTTGTACTAAGAGGTACGTAAGTAGTTCGATATTTTTCTTTGGGCATTCACAAAAATCAAAATTTTGACCATAGTTTTTGAATGAGAAAAAACACATACAGTAGAAGGTCAAGGCTTTACTGTTGTTGTTGTTGTTTTTTGGCGTTCTTTGTTTCTTTTTTCTCTGTCTTTCTTTTGTGGTTTTGTTGGCCTTTTAGTCACATTTGTTCACGTTGGAATAGTTCCCACCCGAATGTTGAATAATTATGGTTACCGTAGACCTTCAAGGGACGATTTTTTGCGATTTTATTTTTCAGGCCAAACTAAACATTACGATTTTAGCTACATTTTCCAAAAAAAATTATTTTAAAATCTTGAAACGCGTGCGAGTTATCCCACAAAAACATGTTTTCAAATACAATTCTATAACCCGCTAGAGTGTCATAAGCCAATTAGAATGTGTCAACGGCAGGGCTTCCCGTGACGTCCCAAAACAACATCTGAAAACGAAAATTCTGCGTTTTCTGGGCCAACTTCTTTGTTCTACAAATCAAAAACAATAGAACAGCATATTGCGCTCAACGCTTGCCTCCAGGTTACGCGATAAAAAAATCTCCATCAAAGCTACAAAGTACATACATGTAGAAGAACTCGGAGATTGAACTGCTAGTTTGCAACGCCTATTATTCGGTCTTATTCGGATGGTGACCGCATTTCGGCCTGCAGCTGTTCTTTAGGATGGAGAGAGATCGGGCCCATTTAATGCCGCTGCTCATCCTGTTTCTCTCTGCTTCGAAGACTTTTTTTCCACCTGGCATATCGCAAAGAAATCCCTGAACTATAGTCACGCACTCAACTGGTATCTTGCGCAGAGTCTCTGGGGACTCCGCAGGCGTGGTTTCCTGCATCTCAATTGGCTGTCGGCATCTGCGGTATCCACAGTGTTGACATATGACGCAGCAAAGGCGTGAAATGCTTATAAACCTTTAGAAGCCAAAAAAACTGACTTCGTTTTTACGCGAGTGGTTCCCCTTTAAACGAATTTATAGGGTATGAGAATTTAATGGATTGCCTTGAAATTCCGATTTCCCAAGACATCAAACAAAAATAAATTGTGAGGGATTTCCGTTTTTCAAAGTTGATTTCCCGCAATGGCCTTCATTGTAACACGTATTGGTAAATTTTTGATAAGCAAACTTGACAGCAAAATTGCAAAGGCAACCAATAGGAATTTCGAGAAAGCCAAACACGGTTTTGAAGATTGATGCCTTGTGATTGACATAATGCAGTTGTTTTGTTTGTGTGCTCGAATTTCGATATACGATAAATTCGCTCAAAGAGACGTCAGTCGTTTTGGGCTTTTGGGGCGTACTCTTCTTACGGTTAAATAAAATTAAAGCCAAACAATTTTTACCGGATAGTGCATTTCATAACCTTTACATTGATATATAGTTTATGGTAGTTGCGTTTAAAACAGCGCGCTTTATAATTTTTTTCCCGAAGGACACCCACGAAGGTCTGCGGTAACCTTAAAGTGGACATTTATAACAAAAGAGTCAATGGTAGTTGGGAAGGTCAAGTTTTTCTTTGATTTTGGGATGAAACATTAATTGGTTTATTTAGTGTACGTGTACATTTGTACAATGTATCTCTGGCCCAATTCATCCTTCATGCAAAATTTAGGCATACTTTGGAAAAATGATGATGTCACAAGTGGTACAAGGTAAAACTTCAGAGTCAAATGAAAAGAGACTTCCAGTGTAAACACCATCGACTGACAAACACTTTTCACTTGGACTCTGAAAATGACATCCGCTCAGGTTGTCGAAACGTCAGTTACCAACAACAGCCTTTCCAGGACTACCCTCGTCTGGACAATCACACTAGATTAACTACATGTACTGAGAGTAATACTCCTGGGTTCAAACCATTTATTACAGTACATAAATACCTTGATTGCTTTATCATGCTGGAACTCAACAATGCCTGAGACTTGTCCACTTCTTCTTTAAGCATTGAATTGTACAACCTTCATACACTTCACCCTTTTATACCCTCCTCTGCAGCGGAGATACACACCTCCATAGCCGACACCAAACTGGAGAGCCTGAAAAAGACATGGCAGATATGTTGTAATTAGCCAGGAAAAATTACAGAGAGCTTTTTGGGCTTCCTATCTAGGAAACCTACACATGTAACTGCCGCAGCTGACAGAGCAGCTTGGAGATGACAGGCATGCAGCCAAATTCCTCCACTACAAGAAATGGGACAGTGACGAATGATGATGATCTAGAAAGCTTAGCAAGGCTGTGCTCTGGTGGTACCTCTATAGGATTTATGGAAGCAATTGAGTGTCATATCTACAGACATTTCAATTTATACATGCAGAAGTGATGACACGCATAAACAATGTACCACATGTTGCATACTTCATTAGTAGCAGCAGGAAAAAATTACAAGATTCCACAATCCACAAAATAAAAGCTACAAATGCTGCAAAGTTAAAGGAGCTACATCACAGATGGCACATCTTGAAAAATTTAGCCTAACATTTTCAAGTTTGTCTTTCGTAAACTGTCTCAATCCTCCCCAGTTTTAACCATCATTGTTCCTTTTTGGTTTATTATTACTCTTTGGTGTTTTGTCTACCATTTAAAGTAAACTATAGCCTGTGTACATCCGCCTCCTCCCCTCAAAAAAAAAAATCATGAAGAGAGTTGTCTGTGTCTCAACATCGTTAATCGTGTTCCAGAATAACTTAGCATAAATTAATGACCACTGTGTTCTGGTGTGAACACACAGAGAGAACAAAAGAAATTTGGCGCGTGAGATCATTTTAACGAACCTTGTTGTTTTGGAATCGTAGCATGGATTAACAACCTCGAGCTACGCCCGCAAAAATTAAAACACGCTA